TACCACCATGGCAGGCTTCCTATTACATGTATTCCATTACTGTCTTTATTTCCCAGTCCCTTATGATCTCTTCCTCCCCTCTCATGAACTCTTTTCTAGTTCTTTGACCTATAAACATATGCATACATAAATACACATGTATATACACATGTATAAATTTTAATCTAGGTTCTGTATATGTGCAAAATCATATGGTATTTGTCTTGCCATATTTTTTTAGCATGATCATTTCTAGTTGTTTCCATCCTGAAAATGTCATTATTTCATTTTATTTTAAGACTGCATAAAATTCCATTATGTATATGTTACAGCATTTTCTTTATCTATTAATGGGCATCTAGGCTGATTCCATTTCTCTTGTGAATAGTGTGGTTGTAAACATGGATGTATGGTCATTTTTGTGGTAGGTTGACATAGAGTCCTTTGAGTATGTACCCAAGAATTTATAGCTGGATCATATAGTAGTTTTTTTTAGTTTTTAGTTTTTTAGTTTTTTGAGGAACCTCCATAATAATAATAATTTCCATAGTGGCTGCAGAAGTTTATGTTCCCATTGGTAATAACAGTTTCTCTTTCACCATCCTCACCAACACTGTTGTCATTTAAATGTTTTCTTTCTTTAAATTTATTTTATTTTTAATTATGTGTATGGGTATGCGCAGTTGAATGCAGGTGCCTACAGAGATGAGAAGAGGGCATCAAAAACTAGAAGAGTTACAGGTGGTTGTAGGCTGCCCCATGTGGCTGTTGGGAACCAAACTCAGGTCCTCTGTAACTGATGAGCCATCTCTTTATCTCCTTAAATGTTTCCTTGATAGCCATTCTGATTGGGATAAGATGGAATTTCAAGGCAGTTTTAGTTTGTATTTCTCTATTGGCTGAAGATATTGAATACTTAAGTATTTCTTGATAATTTGTATTTTCACTTTTGATAACTGTCTGTTCATTTCATTAATCTGCATACTGATTTTGAAGATTTATTTTGTTAGTGTTTAAGTTTTGCAATTCTTTACATATTCTAGATATTAATCCCATGTCTGATATGTAGTTGTCAAGATGGAAGATCTGTCCTTGTATGTTTAAAAGTTCTAGGGCTGGAGCGGTGGCTCAGCGGTTTAGAGCACTGGCTGCTTTTACAGAGGACCCAGAGTCAATTCCCAGCACCTACATGGTGGTTAATAACCATCTGTAACTCCAGTTCCAGAGGATCTGATGCCCTCTTCTGTACTCCACTGGTACTGCACAACATGGGTGCAGTTATACATATGCAGGCATAACACTTAAACACATAAAATAAAAATAACTAAAATAACTAAATAAATAAATCTCCTAAGTATTAATCACCGTATTAAAGGCATTCCTCCACTTCATGGTTTTTGAGCTCCATAGCAGTGAACAGCAGGTAGATAGGTTGGTCCACCTCCTGACCTTGGGCTCAGAGCTGTCAAACTCCAGAATTATTCTCAGTTGATGAGGTCTGCTGCATGCAACTAAGGACAGGGTTACTTTTCCCTGTGCATTTCACTGCCTTAGGCAAGCTTCCTGCCACCTGCCTTTTTGGTTTATTACTCTTGGCTTCCTAGCTCTCTGCAACTGCCTCCCAGGGCTGTCTCCTGCCCAGTGCAGCTTAGTTTCTGATAATGCGTTCTATTTTAAAGTAATGCCGAACCTCTATCCTCTGAGTCATGCAGAGTAACAAAATGGGGTTCCTCTCTCTTTCTATCCCATCCACTGGAGGAATCACTGTCTCACCTCAGCTGGTTTTGAGGCTTGTGAGGACTGTGGGCTTGACCTGAGGATAGAACTGCCCATATTTTTCTCCTGGGCTTCATGGCTTACCTGTGGGAAGGAGGCTTTGGTTCTCTCTTTGTTAGGGAACTTCACTCTTGGAATTGGTGTGGCTTCTTTTTTTGTGTGTTGCCCATTTTTTTTCTCTGCACTTTACACATACCTTGTCATTACTTTTGTGACTTTCTGAAGTTCTTCCTTTCTTTCTGTATAGAATAGAGTCTATTTTTCTTTCTCTGATTTCTCTCCTTTAGTGGGTCACACAGAAGCAGCTTCTCACCCACCGTCTTAGCTACTTTTTAAAATTTACCTTTCTGGACTTCTTTATTTCTTCTTAAACTCCAAAAACTTAATAATTTGCTTAAGGAAAGATTCTCTCAGTGTTTTAGTATTGCTTAAGAAAAAAATACTATAGATTTCTCCAAAGTTTTTATGTATTTATGTTTTCATACATGGCTATTTAGATTTATATGTATGAGCCCAAACAATGCTGTTTGTTTATAGTTTCTAGTCATTTTAGAAGATTTTGAAATATATTGAATTCAGGGAATTATAAATAGAGAAGCCTTTGCTTTCAGGTTTGTGGGGAGGGGGAGAGACTAGAATTTGATAAGTAGCTCAGGGTAGCCTTGAAACTTGTGATCCTCCTACCTTCACTTCTCTAATAGTGGAATTGCAGGCATGTGCAACTTTGCTGAACTTCCAAAGTTTTAAAAATAACATTCTTTTTGCCTAGCCTAGTGGTGCATGTCTGTGAATCCAGCTACTTGGGAATTTGAGACAGGATCAATGAGATTGAGGCCAGCCCAGGCAACATAGTGAGATCCTTCCTCAAAGCAAGCAAAGAAGCAAACAAAAAAACCTATTTTTCTCTGATTCCAAAAAGTAATTATTTTTCTTTCTTAAGTTCTTTTTTTACATTTTAGTTTCAAAATTTTATTTCATTCTCTCTCCTTTCTTCTCTGTCTCTGTCTCTGTCTGTCTGTCTGTCTGTCTGTCTCTCTCTCTCTCTCTCTCTCTCTCTCTCTCTCTCTGTGTGTGTGTGTGTGTGTGTGTGTGTGTGTGTGTACGGAATATACTGACAAATGCTCACATATGGAGGTCAGAGAACAGCTCTCAGGAGTCATTCTCTCCGGCCACCTCGTGGAATGTGGAAAATAACTCGTGTTAAGCTGTCTCACTGTCCCCCCCCTTTTTATTTTACATTTTATTTATCACGGGGGAGGGTGAGAAGGTGGGAAATGCATTCATGTCACAGTGTAAGTGTGTAGGTCAGAGGAAAATTTGTGGTAATCAGTTCTCTCCTACCTTTATGTGGGATCATGGGATCAGTCTCAGGTCATCAGGCTTGGTGGTAAAGGCCTTTAACCTACTGAGCAATCTTGAAACACCATTATTTATTATATTTTCTTTTTCTTTTAAAAAAATTATTATTTTTATTTTATGTGTATAAGCGTATTGCCTGCATACATACAAGTGTATCTATGGATCCCCTGGAACTGGAGTTACAGATAGTTGTTAGCTGCTATGTGGGTTCTGGGAATTGAACTTGGGTCCTCTGTAAGAGCAGTCAGTGCTCTTAACCGCTGAGCCATCTGTCCAGCCCCTTTCTCTTTCTTTCGAAAATAATGTGTGTCTGCATGCATGTACTCATGCAGGTGCCTGTGGAGGCCAGAAGAAAGTGTCAGATTCCCAGGAGTTGAAGTTATAGGTGGTTTTGATCTCCCTGATTTGTGTGCTAAAAATTGAACTTGAGTTCTCTAGAAGAATAGCAAGTGCTCTTAACCGTTGACCCATCTTTCTAGCCCCTATCATAGTTTCTTAATTGAGGTTATAATGACATATATTTGACATTCTGTTTTTCCCTATTATTTCATATTAAACTGTGAGAATTCCCCAGATCATTAATTACTTTGAGAATAATTTTAGTCTCTGTATATTACCAATATGTAAAAATTAATATATAAAATTACTTTGGCTGTTAGCGTTTGTTTGTTGTTGATAATTTTTCATTTGTGGAACTGTGAGAAATTTCTTTTGAAAAAAGTTAAACTTGGGGCTGGAGAGATGGCTCAGCAGTTAAGGGCACTGGCTGCTCTTGCAGAGGACCCAGGTTCAATTCCCAGCACCTACATGGCTGCCAGTAACCGTCTGTAACTCCAGTTCCAGGGGAATCCAATGCCCTGTTCTGACCACCACAGGTATTGTACCAATCGGGTGCGCTTACATACATGCAGGCAATACACTTATACACATAAAATAAAAATAATAAATAAAATATTTTTATTTATTTATTTATTTTTTTTGAGACAGGATCTCCCTGTAGCCCCAGCTAGGCTGGAACTCACTATGTAGGCCAGGCTGGCCTTGAACTCACAGAGATCTGCGTGCCTCTGCCTCCCAAGTGCTGGGATTAAAGGCTTGTGCCACCATACCCGTTCTATAAAATATTTTTTAAAAGAGAAAAAAGTTAAACTTGGGCTGGCAAGTTTGCTCAGTGGACAAAGGCACTTTCTTTTAAGCGTGACAACCCGAGCTCGCCCCAAGTTGTCTTCTCATTTCCACACATGTACTGTGGCATCCCACCAATAATAATAAATAAAATGTAATATAAATTTTTTTTCTCTTTTGATATTTTAAAATATTTTATTATTTTTATTTCATGTGTTTGAGTGTATTGTCTACATGCATGTGAGTGCACCTGTGTCGTGCAATGCCACGGAGGTCAGAAGAGGGCCTCGGATTCCCCTGGAACTGGAGTTAAGGATGGTTCCTAGCCACGATGTGGGTGCTGGGAATCGAACCCGGGTTCTCTGCAAGAGCAGTCAGTGCTCTTAACTGCTGAGCCATCTCTCCTACCCCTGATTTATTTTATTTTGTGTGTGTGTTATGTGTGTGAGTGTTTTGCTTGCATGTATGTGAGTGCCAGTGGAGGTAAGAAGAGGGCATTAGAGTCTCTAAAACTGGAGTTACAGATGATTGTTAACTACCAGGTGGGTGCTAGAAACCAAACCTGGGTCCTATGCAAGAATAGCCAGTCCTCCTAACTGCTGAGCTCCTGAATAAAATGTAATTTTAAAAAGTTAAACTTATATGTGTAATTATTGAGTAGTTAATGTAGTTTTAGGATAAAAATAATATTTAATAGATGTCATGTTGACTTGGACTTTGAATTGCTTAATGTGTAACAAAAAACCATTTTCTTTTCCCAGGGCATAAAACCAGCCAGCTTCAATAAAGTCACTGACCCTGAAGTCAAAGAAATAATTGAAGGATGTATTCGACAAAACAAATCTGAAAGGTGAGTGAAATTATTACAAAGTAACATAAATTTTTATCCTGTGCTAGAGTGATATTTATCATTGCATGTCATTCAGTGTTTTAGACTTTGATATCATGTGCTTAGTTTGAACTGACATTTGTGTGTGCTGTAATACTTTCATCATCATTAGCCATCAACTTAATAGTCAGTAGGCCTCTACAAATTACCTACTTCAAATAGTTGAGAGTAAATAGATGTATCACATTTGATCATATATCTTTGTGCCAACAATAATGGTAAAACTAATACAGATATTTTTGTTCAAGAATGAATATTCTGTATTTATTCATATCAAAATTTATGTTTTTGTATAGACAACTGCTTTTAGTGTTGACTTTCAGAACTTCCCTTTAATTTGAGCTTTGTACAATTACTGATTGATAGTTTCTTTTTTAAGATTTGTTTTTTTTATTGTATATGTATGTGTATTGTATATGTATGTATGTATTGTATATGTATGTGTATATATATATGTGCACCACATGCATACAAGACGTGTCTCAGGAGGCCAGAAGAGGGCTTTGGATCCACTACAGCTGGAGTTACAGGTGGTTGTGAGCTGCTGGGTGTGAGTGCTAGAACGCAAACTCAGGTGCTCTGGAAGATCAGCAAATGCTCTAAATGGCTAAGCCATCTCTCCAGCCCCATTTTAGCCATTTTTTTTGGTCTTTTTGACACAGGGTTTCCCTGTAGCCCCAGCCAACCTGGAACTGACTATGTACAGGCTGGCCTTGAACTCACAGAGCCTCTCCCTCCCAAGTGCTGGGATTCAAGCTGTGTGCCACCACGCCTGGCACCATTTTTAAGTGTGCCATTCAGAGGCATACTTTAAGTACATTACTTTTTAAAATTTTTAAGTTTTTATTGAAAATTAGACAATTTATGGTAAAATCAAAGCAGTTGCCATGAATACTAATGGTATTATCTCATTCAGCATATCCAACATTCAAATACATTCTTATCAGTATATATCTATCACCACTATTGAGCCCTGGAAATTTTTTTTATCATTCTAAACTATAACTGTGTAACCACCAATAACTCAGAATTTTTCCTTCCAGAACCAGATAATATATGTTCTACTTTATGTCTCTGTAAATGTGCTTGTTCTAGGCACTTCATATAGGTGGAATCAAATAATTTTTTAAAAATATGCCTTAGTTCACCATAGATTTTTCAAAGCTAATCTCAATTGTATTTTAAAGTCTGAATGAATAATATTCCATTATACATTTATGACACATTTTCTTTATATATTCATGTGTTAATGAATACTTATTTTTACATTTTGGGAGTTTTCTTTCTCTCTGGTACTGGAGATCGAACACAAAGTCTATATATTATGTATTTAGTTAGGCACTTGGGCACCTTTTAGTTATTGTAATACTGTATAAATGCTGGCATATGAGTATTTAAGTCTCTGTTGCCAGATTGGCGTATACACTTAGTAAGAATCATTGGATAATATCATAATACTGTTTAATATTGTTTTAGAGAACCCCTAAATTTTTCCTCTGTAACTGCAACAGTTTATATTTCTACCAGTAGTATATGAAGGCTAACAATTTTTGAACATCTTTATCAGCCTTTATTATTACGTTTTCATTTAATTTTCTTGTGTGTGCAGTACATGTGTGTGTGCAGGTACATGTGGATCCTAAGGAACCCCAAGGACTGTCTTCTACCTCCTTTGAGACAGGGTCTCTCATTGGCCTGGAGCTTGCCAATTAGACTAGACTGTCTGGCCAGTGAGCCCTGGGGATCCTCCTGTCTCTGCATCCCTAGTGCTGGGATTATAAACACATACCACCACACCTGGCATTTTTGTGTGTGGGAGTTATAGGAATTGAACTTAGGTCCTTGGGATTATGAGGCAAGCATTTTATTTACTAACTGAGCTATCTTCCCAGCCCTCTATTTTGTTTGTTTTTTATAATTTCCTTTCTAATGAGTATGAAGTGATAACTCATTATGTTGAGTTATAGTAGTTTAGACATTTTTTTTAAAACTTTAAATTTTAGTGTTGCAGATTGAACTCACGGACTGAGCTATACCCGCTAATCCTAGGACATGCTTTTTTACTTTTCTTTTTTGCTGTTCTGGGAAACAAACCCAAGGCCTCACACATGTTAGGCAAGTGCTGTATTATTGAGCTGCATCCACAGCCCTAAACAGTTTTTTATTGAAGCTGAAAGTATTGGGTTAGGGCCAGTTAGATGGCTCAGTGGGTAAAGGTGCTTGCTGCCAAGCCTGAGAACTTGAGTTCGATCCCCAGGACCCATATGGTAAAAGTAGAGAACCAAATCTCACAAGTTGTCATCTGACCTCTGCATACACACTGGCATGCACATCCCCCCCAATAAATACATAAAATGTAATAAAACGTTAATTGTTTTATTTTAGATTCTGATTGCTGTTTGTATAGCACTGTAATTATGATCAGTCATAAAGAACATTAGAATATTCAAAAGTGTGTTGGAAAAAATTACAGGCCTCAAAGTCACACTAAGATTCAAATCTAGACTCACATCCAGTGTTATCTTAAAGCTACTTATTCCTCAAAATAAGTAGTATGTTGATGATTTTTATAATGAATGTATACAAAATAGTTAATGTATATAAAGTAGTTAACAGTAGGAAGTCATCAATGATAATAGGTTGTTAGTATTTTCTCCTGTTACTGCTGCTTAGTAAAAATACTTAAATTTTTTATTGAGAGACAAAGAGCTCAACTTGGTTATGCTTTCTAAACACATTACACGTTTGTATTAAAACTAAGTAGTTTGAGTCTTTTTTGCTTTTGTCATACTGTCTTAGTTAAATATTTGTCTCTGGATTACTAAAAGTTTACACCTTTAAAAATCCTCCACTTTTCAGACACTGTGTTAGCCATGTCTTTTCTGTTTTAAGTAGTACAGCAAGGGCTCTCTACATAGACATGATGGAAATAGATTAAATATCTTGTGCATATTTTAAGTCCATGAAAGACTCCTTTGACGTCTTATCCTGTTGCTACTCTTCAGAGATGGTTAATCTCTATTAAACTAGGGTTATGTCCATTATATGTATAGTATGGCTAAAATCAGAGTTCTATACTTTAAGAAAACTGCTCGAGCTGAGCATGCTAGTGCATGCCTGAAATCCTAGCAGACAGGAGGCTGAGGCAAGAGAATTGAGATTTGGAGGTATCCTGGGCTGTATAGTGAGACTCTGTCTCAAAACAGGAACAGCAAAAAAGAAAAAAGATACAGACAGTGGATCTACTGTGACCGACACCTCAGTCCTCCTGTTGCCATGTCTTCTCCATCATGATGAATTGCATAAATTCTGAGCTAAAATAAACCTTCCTCAGGACAATGAATGAATGAATGAATGAAAGAAAGAAAGAAAGAAAGAAAGAAAGAAAGAAAGAAAGAAAGAAAGAAAGAAAGAAAGAAAGGAAGGAAGAAAGGAAGGAAGGAAGGAAAGGAAATTACTGGCCATCACAGAACCACATTAACTTTACCTGTGGCATACTTCCAAAGAGTGATGTACACTGATTAAATAGTTGGTTTTAAGAAGTAGTTTTGAAGTAGCGGCTCATTCTGTAGCCCAGGCTGTCCTAGAACTCACTATGTAACCCAGCCCAGCCTTGAACTGGTGGCAAGTGCTGGGATTATAGGTATGGGCTGTCTGACTCGGTAATTGTTAATTGAGTAATATATTCTACTTAAGACATTTGTAAGAGTTTGAAATTCCAGTTTACTTTAGAGTTTATATATCTGGGGAAATTTTATTTTCCTTTGCTTAAGATAGTTGTTTGAGGCATAGTAACTTAAATAAATTCAGTAAATTGTTCTACTTTACAGTTCTCTCTAGGTATAATTTTTTAAAAATTATTTTATAGCCAGATGTGGTGCTGTACACCTTTAATCCCAGCACTTGGGAGGCAGAGGCAGGCGGATCTTTGTGAGTTCAAGGCCAGCATGGTCTACAATGTGAGTTCCAGGCCAGCTGGGGCTACAGGGAGACTCTGTCCCAAAAAGATTAAAAAAAATTATTTTATGTGTATGTATGAGTGCTTTGCCTGGATGTATGTAGGTGTACCTGTGTGTGCAATGCCTGTGACAGGTAGGATGCCTGATCCCCTGGGGCTGGAGTTATAAATAATTGTTAGCCACCATGTGGGTGCTGGGAACCAAGCTTAGGTCCTCTGCAAGAGCAGCCAGTGCTCTTAGATAATGAGCCATCTCTTAAGCCCCCTCTAGGCATTAAGCTTTGTTATCTAGATGTGTTACTGGTCATTAATCTTTAATTAAGGTCACTGTATATGCATGTTAGTTGGGATTTCTTTGTATTCCTAGTAATAAGTTAAATATAAGATGTAGCTTTATAACAAGGCAGATTAATGGTTTAAAACATAGGCAATTTAAAGTAAGTTTCTCACTTTGATGTGCTTAACTTTTTCTAATTAAAGGATCATATCCTGTTTGATTGGAAGAATTGATAATGAGATATATATTTTATTTATTAGGTTATCTATCAGGGACCTACTAAACCACGCATTTTTTGCTGAGGATACAGGATTGAGGGTGGAGTTAGCAGAAGATGATGATTGCTCAAATTCATCCCTGGCTCTAAGACTCTGGGTTGAAGACCCTAAAAAATTAAAAGGCAAACATAAAGACAATGAAGCTATTGAATTCAGTTTCAATTTAGAAACAGATACACCTGAGGAAGTAGCATATGAAATGGTAAGTAAATCTTAGTGACGTTTTCCCTATCCTTTACAGTAACAGGACTGATTCCTTTGTACTTCTCATTCCTTTCTTTTTTTCTCGATTTCTTCTGCTCTCTCTCTTCCTCTCTCTTGCCCTCTTTCTCTCTGTGTACAAGAGGAAAACAATGAGGAAATCAAAGTGTAAGGTCCAGGAAAATAAACCCATGGCTGAGCATAGTTGGGGCACTGGCAGGGTTGTTCAGAAGAATTCAGAAAATTGGACAGACTTACAGAGACCTACATGTCGCTGGATCCAGAAGCTCTGTGCTGGGAGGCAGGATTCCAGGCAGGCAAAGTTCACTCTATCATTAATGCACCAGGTATTCCACCCATCTATTTAGCATAACTTAAGGTGAGCCTGCCTTCCTATGGATGGCCCTATGACCAGATGATTGACCAGTGAAACTGAAAAAATGCGTTTCCCAACAGATAGACTAGTGATTTTATAGTCTTGACCAGTTAAACTTATGGGGATATTTGCTACTGTAACATTCCTCTCTGAAGAGCTAACCCTAAAATCTTTTAGGGATTAGATAAGAGCTCCCAAATACTTTTGACATTTTTGGCCTTTGGAACAGAGTATGCTGCTAAAAGGCCCAAGGACATTTTGACTTGTAGCCAAGAAACTGCCTACTTTTGCGGGTGGGGTCTTTTTACCCTAACCACCTAGTCAATTTCTACCTCTTATCATACCACCCTCTGAGGAGGTTATCCAAATTGCCAACTGGGAATCAGGACGCTGACAGCTCTGGCTTCTTCCATGCTCAATAGGGGCACAGGATGTGGCAACTGGGGTACCTATTCAATGGGTCTATTTAAAAAACTCCCAAATTGCATAACTCTTAACTGTCAGGAGAAAAGAAAGGCCTTGACTGATGCCTAGGGGATGTGAACGAGAAGTAAAGGCAAGAGTAGTTAGCATTATAAGTTCTAGATAGGGAACCAAAAAAAAAGGTCAGAACAGGGAAAATTTCAAATGTCCAAACCAAAGTCCATTAGAATTTCTTGACAAGGGCTTCCAAAAGCATTTATCTGTTGGGTTCCTCCTCAATTTTCTTTTGGTCACCAAGGCTAGGCTTTAGAGTAATGAACTTGGGATTTGTTTTCAGGCATTTTGATAGCTGTTGGAGTGGCTAGAATCAGTATCAGTTCCCTCCCAAATGGCTTCTAGACAGGAGAAGACAACAAATTTCTCTCCTAGACAGGAGAGAAAACAAATTTAGTCATCATTTAATTTTTAGGCTAGAACAATAGTGGGCTTGTCTTTCTTGGCTGCAGGTAGGCACAGCAGTATTATAGACCAAGATTTGAAGTCTTTCATCTAAGTAGCATTTTCTTATTAGAAACAATATCATCAATGAAAAATAATTGTCTAAATAACATCTTATATGGACTTAAGTCTAAAGCCTGGAAAGTGTAATCCCTTGAACTCTTAAAGAAATATACTCATCACTTTAATCTTTGGTTATACTTTCTTCTTGGGTATTTAAGACCATGAAGTTGGCCCAAATAAACCAATTTGTTTTTACTCTTAAGGTTAGTTGAAGATCTGGTCCTCAGGGGCCACATGGGCTTGGGAGAAGCTCCTGGTTCCTTTGTCTTTTCTTTTACCAGTTCCATCTATGTGAGGATACTGACTTAACCTTTAAAAGTAGCATACTTCCTCTTCCAGCCTCTTTTAAAACTGTATTTTATTTAACATTGTATTTTTCTGTTTTTTAATTCTTTGAGAATTTCATACATGTATACAATGAAATGAGATCACACACACACCCATTTTCTCCCTTAAACTCCTCCATATCTCCTTAATACCTCCCTCTCTTTTTTTAAAATTAAAAAAAAAATTTATTTTTATTTTATATGTATTGCTTGTAAGTGTACCTGTGTGTGCAATACCCAGGGAAGCCAGAAGAGAGCAACCAGATCCCAAGGAACTGAAGTTACTGATGGTTGTTAGCCATCATATGGGTGCTGGGAACTGAATCCCAGGTCTTCTGGAAGAGAATATAGTACTCTTAACCAGTGTTCTTAACTGCTGAGCCGTCTCTCCAGCCCTTACCTCCCTCTCTTTTCACATCTTCTTTTTCAGTGCACACATTTTACAATGAATAAAACCAATATAACATTACTTCTGTTTAAACACTGTTAAAATTAAAAATAAGATAATTCTCTAATCTTACAACATACAGAGATATAAAAATCACAGTACATCCTCTCTTTACGGTAGTACAATGCTTTAAGTTTTCTGCTTTTTTTTTTTGAAGTTTTCTGCTTGTTAAGAAAATAGTACATGTCAGGTGTGGTGACTCCTTTCTTTAATCCCAGCATTCCAGAGGCAGAGGAAGGTGGATCTCTGAGTTCAAGGCCAACCTGGTTTACAAAACAAGTTCTAGGCCAACCAAGGCTACATGTAAGACCCTGTCTCAAAAAAAGAAAGGGAAGAGTATATAGTATTAAATTCTTTGAACTTGTAGATATTTAATCATTTTGCCTGGCAAGGCATTTTAGGTTGGCATTGTTCTTTAATTTGGTATCCTTGCTCTGTGCTCTTCAATAGTAATATTAAAAAGCCCACATTTGTTATGAGTCTTAATCTTTTGCATATGACCCTTTTTTCTCTCAGGAACATTATTTCTTCTTGGTAATCTAAAATTTCAGCTTCATCTATGGTTTTGTACATTCTATGTACCCTTTTAGTCTGTCAATCCATATTCTTTAGTTTCTGTGATATTTCATGAAGTATTTAGCTGTAGTACTTTGTTGCCTCCTATTTCTAGAACTTCCGTTATTTGAATGTTGGGTCCTTTAGATAGCTCTCCAGTGTTCTTATTTTTTTTCTGTTTTTTCTTTTTTTTTTTTTTTTTTTTTGAGACAGGGTCTCAATATGTCCCAAGCTAGTCTTGAATTCATTATGTAGCTGAGGATGGCCTTGAACTCCTGATCCTCCTTCCTTTGTTTTCTAGGGCTGGGATTATAGGTATGTGCCACTATGCTTATCCTTGTTCTTTTTGATTTATAACTTTAAATTGATTTATTATGAAGTGGGTTTACTTGTAGCTTTAGGGGGTATGGGCAAATTTGGATATGTGTGCTTCATCTAATTTTTAAAACAAGATCTTGCTATGTAGTTTATACTCTTTCATGTATCGTGTAGTTTCTGAGTCTGCTGATCTCCAAGATATGTTTTAAAATGCAGATTATAGGCTGGATTTAGTGGTACATGCCTATAACCCCAGCACTTTGGAGGTGGAGGCAGGAGATCAGGAAGAAGTTCAAGGTCATTCCAGCCAAATAGTGAATTTCAAGTCAACCTGGGTTACATGAGACCCTGTCGCAAAAAAGTAAGAGACAAAGCCAAGTGGGTGACGCACGCCTTTAGTCCCAGCACATGGAGGCAGGTAGATCTCTGTGAGTTCAAGACCAGCCTGGTCTATGTAGTGAGTTCCAGGCCAGCTGGGGCAAAAAGGAGACCATGTCTCAAAAATACCAAAAACAAAAATAAGAGACAAAAAATGCAGACTGTAGGACTGAGAATGGTATGCCATGGTGCTACTTCAAATCATGTTTCCTATGCTGTTTATCCCTGTTTCTTAGAGTAGAAACAACCCTTTCCTGTTCTCTCACTACTCTTAATACCTAGTAAGCTGTAGTACTCTGTGGTGTTGATCTCTGCCCCAAACTTCATTTGTGCCTTTTTCAATAGACTATTCCTATTTTGAGGACTTTTGTTTTGTTTTCCTTTGTTTTGTTTTGAGACCCTGTCTCAAATAAACAAACAAAAATCCCAGAAAGACTATAGAGACAAACTATTATTAGTTATTTAATAGCATTTTGGATTTGGTATATAAAATAATGATTTAAGTTAAAAGAGCTAACATCTGTTAATTTGATTTTTCTTGAGAATTTCATACATGAATATTGTCTTTGTATTATTTCCTTCTCTCCCAGTCCCCCAACTCCCTCTCAATTTCTTGTTTTCTTTGATTATTATTGTTACATATACATATATAAATTTATAAATATATGTATAAAATGCACTGAGTGCATTTAGTGGTGCTCATGTGTATCTGTGTTTAGGGCTGCCCACTTGGAATTAGATAACCTCTTAGTGAGCTAGTCCCTGGAGAAAACTGATTCTCTCTCCCTCAGCATCCATTGATTGCCTATAGAAGAGCTAAAATCTTAACTGTTAATGAAGCAGTTTGCTTACTTATTATGTTTTATTTGTAGGTCAAGTCTGGATTCTTCCATGAAAGTGATTCCAAAGCTGTTGCTAAGTCCATTAGAGACCGTGTGACCCTGATAAAAAAGACAAGGGAAAAGAAACCTGCTGGCTGCTTGGAGGAATGCAGGGATTCCCAGTGCAAGTCTCTGGGGAATGTATTCCCTCAGCACCAGGCTACAATTTTGCTTCATGCTCCTACTCAGCACACTGGAGCTGAATGTGAAGAAACAGAAGTTGATCAACATGTTCGCCAACAGCTTCTACAGGGAAAGCCACAGCTACACTGCTCCTCTGTTGGAGGTAAAACAGTTATAATTTATAAAAGCAAACAAATGTCCAATTATATTTTCCTATCTTTAAATAGTATTTTTGTGCTTTTCAAAGTATTATGTTTGTAATTTTTAGCAAACCTTTTACAGTCTCTGAAATAGACCAGGTAGTTTGATTATATTAAAATCAAGAAAGTTGGGTTAGGAACTTGTTCCAGTTGGTGAAGTACTTGCCTAATATTCAGGATGCCGTGGGCTAGATTCCCAGTACCATACAAACTGGGTTTGATGGTACTTGCCTAAAATCCCAGCACTTCTGAAGTAGAAGCAAGAGGATTAGAAGTTCAAGGTAGTTCAGCTAGTTCAATGCCAAACTAGGATAACATGATAGTCTGTCTCAAAAGAAATTAAAGTGGCTTGTCTATTGTGCTAGTTGCAAAAAAGATTATAATATAGCAACTGCTTTAGTTCAGAGAAATGATATCACTACCATTTTTAATAGTCTAACGTAAATCATTTATTACAGTTTGGAACTGAAAATACAATTTATTTCTCAAGAAGGAATTTTCTAGATATTTTCAAGATCCTTTGTAATGCCAGGTGTGGTGGCACACACCTTTAATACTAGCACTCTGGAGGCAGAGATAGGTGAATCTCTGTGAATTCAAGGTCAGCCTGGTCTGCATAGAGAGTTCCAGGCCAGCCAAGGATACACAGTGAGATTTGTCTCCAATATATATATATATAAAATAAACATTAAAAAGCAAAAAAATCTTTTGTATTTTAGACTGGAATAAAAACATAAGTCCTCCAAGTGGGTTTTTTTTTTGCTATAATATATTGTTTTCTTTAAAAATGCACATTATTTGCCTAGTAATAGCCAATTGTTCTACAAAGGCTATACTTCTTTCTACTCAGTTTCTAGGAGAAATAGAAAATAGAATATGCCATTTATATTTTACTGAAATCCTAATGGCAAGTATGTATTAGTTAAGGGATACACATGAAATAAACAGAAAATGGAATTGGTTGGTTTTTTCTGCTCATTTTCTTTTTCCCCCTCATCTTTTTTTTTCTTCTGTGTTTGTCTGTTTTAGAGATAATCTTGCTATCTAGCCCAGGCTGTGTCTTCAAATTCATGATCCTCTTGCCTTTGCCTTCTATAAGCTGACTACTGCTGCTTTTCCTTCCCCCTACCTTCCTCAACTTTCCCTTCTTCCTTCACTTTCTTCCTCCTCTTTTTTTCAAGGCTTAGGATAGAACCCCAGGACTTACACAAGCTAGGCAAACATTCTATCACTGAACTATAATCCCCAGCTCCTGGAGCTACTTTTATATGATTGTTTTAAGTTTTCTTTATTAACAAAATTTATTTAAGATTTGGGGAAGGTGGGCATGTTAACATGCCTATAATCTCCATACTCTGAAGGCAGAGGCAAGAAGATCAAGAGCTTGAGATCTGGCTGGGGAGGTGGCTTAGTAGGTAAAGTACTTGCCTTGCATGAGGACCTGAGTTCAATTCCCAGAACCCATATAAAATAGCCTGGCATAATGGTGTGAGCTTGTAATCCCAGGGCTAGGGAGGTAGAAATAGGCAAATCCTTGGGGCTTGGTGGCCCTTGAGCCTAGCTTACTTGGTGAGCTACAGGCCAATGAAAGATTCTGTCTCAAATGAAACGTCGATGGTGCCTAAGGACCAACACCTAATGTTGTCCTGTGGCCTTCATATATATGTGCATATTCCCTCCTCCTCTGAGTTTGAGGCTATCCTGGGCTACATAGCATGACTGTCTCACAAAACATAAGAAACAAAACAAGAAAAAGAGAAAATTGGGGGCTGGAGAGATGGCTCAGCAGTTAAGAGCACTGACTGGTCTTGCAGAGGACCCAGGTTCAGTTCCCAGAACCCAAATGGTGACCAAAAACTATCCTTAACTCCAGTTCCAGGCATTGCATGACACAGGTGCACTTAAATACATGCAAACAAGACACTCATACACATAAAAAAATAAATAAATAAAGGCCAGGCATGGTGGTGCACTTCTTTAATCCCAGCACAGGGGAAGCAGAGACAGGCAGATCTCTATGAGATCCAGGCCAACCTGGTCTACAAAATGAGTCGAGGCTAGCTGGGGCTACAGGTTTACCCTGTCTCAAAAAGACAGCTGGATGGATGGATGGATGGAAGGAAGGAAGGAAGGAAGGAAGGAAGGAAGGAAGGAAGGAAGGAAGGAAGGATGGATCAAAAAAGAGAAAACTGTAGGGAAGGAAATGTGCTTCACTAGCAGAGAGTGAGTTCTGCATTCATGAGGACTTATGTTTGATCCCCAGTAGTACAATAAAAAAGAAATATAGAAATAAGTTATTTATAACACAGTGTCAACATTTCTTTACTTCACAGAGAGTTTATATGATGACTCTTTGTTTTTGAGACAGGCCCCATATAGCCCACACTGGCCTTCAACTTGCTTTGTAACTCAGGCTAACCTCTAATTTGTGATCTTTTTGCTTTTACCTCCCAAATGCTGGGATTATATGTTTTTTAAATTATTTGTTGAATGTGTATATTTTATTTTAAGCTGTCTCTGGTTATCATAGTAGAAAAAAATTAAAGAAACACTTAACTGTTATTTATACCATTTGGACATTGTGCTTCAAGTTTTCCCTTCTACCTTTTGCTTGTTTTCTTTGTTATAGGTGGCACTTTGCCTGAACCAGGAGCTGGATCAGTTATACATTTAGATTCTTCAAGTCAGCCCACTGTAATCTATTCTTCAAACCAGACAACTGGCTCGCAGGTGGTTTCTAGCATCCCACAGGCTGACATAAATGTTCCTGGGCAAATTTACTCCTCTCTTGACCTAGTAAGGCATTGCCAGCAAGTTTCAGGGGTGAGATGAATTGCTCTATTTTTAATATATTTAAGCATTTATCTGTTTTCCTCTTATTTACCAGTTGCAGAAGCAGCCAAATCTGTCTCAGCCCCAAATTTTGCCTGTGGTTCAAGGTCAGTCCTCTGTTTTACCTGTACATGCTCTTGGACCTACAGTTGTTTCACAGTCCCATGTTTCTCCATTAACTGTTGAGAATGTCTCACAGATAAAGGTAAGATACAGTGTTTGAGGCTCTGTACATTTCTCATTATCTGGATTTTTCTGACAAGTAACAATTCTCTTTTATCAGTTTATCATAGATTAAGTAAAGATCACTGAAAGATGACAGTTGTATATGCTTCCTCATACCCAGTGCATTCCTCTTATGGATACAACTAACATTATGCAGGTAGAAGTTTGAAGCACAGCTTCTGTAAATTGGAGAAGAAACAGAGACTTTGGTGTAAACAAAAGGCTTATTTGGAACTCTTGTATTTTCCTTGGTGAAATAGTTCTTTCTTTGTTTTGAACTTTTCCAGATTAGCTGGATGATGGAAGATATCTTTTGCAGTTAATTAAAAATAGTATTTCAAGCTGGAGAGATGGGTCAGAGGTTAAGAGCACCAACTACTCTTGCAGAGAACCTGGGTTCAGTTCCTAGCACCCACACTGTGGATAATAACCATCTGTATCTCCAGTTCCAGGGGATTCAAAACCCTCTTCTGGCCTTCATGAGCAGGGCACACCTGTGGCACACTTACATACATGAGGAAAAATACTCATACACATAAAAATTAATTAATTAATTAATTAATTAATTAAAATTTAAAAAATTACTTTATAGACTTTCATAATTTTAACATGTTAATCTAAATTCTTGGTTTTGTTTTTGTGTATTTAGTTTTCTAGGTGAAATAAAGAGAAACTTTTTTACTTTCAAACTCATAAAGCAGGCCTGGCATGGTGGTGCGTGCCTTTAATCCCAGTACTCAGGAGGAAGAGGCAGGCGGATCTCTGTGAGACTAAGGCCATAGTGAGTTCCAGGCCAGCTAGGGCTACAGGGAGACCCTGTCTCAAAAAACACCAAACAGTCCAACTCATGAAGCCAATATTACTCAATGATGAGTAAACAATCTTTGTGTGAGTTCATGTATTCTGTGTTCGTTTGCCTACGTTATGGACTCTGGGCTTTTGTTTTCCATCACTCAGTTTCTTTGCCCCCTCTCCCCACTCCCTGCATGTACTTTCCCTCTCTCAGAATAAGGTGCTCTCAGCTCTTGGGTACTCTCTGCTTAGCAACTGACACATTGGTTTCTTTTAAGAGTTTGCTCTATAGTTAGTTCTAGTTTATAAGTAGACTTTCAATGACTACTGCCTTCTAAGGATATAAAGTAAAATAAGACATGATTCTTACCCTCAAAGGCATCATAGTCTAGTAGGGAAAAAGGAGATGTGTTCTTTAAAAATGATACAAGCATTTGAAATATGTTGGGGGTAGATACAGTCTACAGATGCAATTGAGTATTTCTAGTATTTGGGAAATGTTTACAAGTGATACAGTACATACCTGTAATCAAATTATTTTGTGGTTTGACTCATTTCTTTCTAAGTCTACCTTGCAAACTATGTTGAACAGATGCGGAATTTTAACCTAGATTCAAATGCTTCAGTATATGTATTTAAAATGTATTTATATTTATTTTAAAAGTATTTATAATGTTAAAAGGGGGGTTGAAAGTTTTATTTGCATATTTAAAATTAATGCCCAAAGCCAGGGCATGGTGGTGCATGCCTTTTTAATCCAGCACTTGGGAGGTATAGGCAGTTGGATCTCTGTGAATTCAAGGCTATCCTGGTCTACATAGCGAGTTCCAGGCCAGCTATGGCTACAGGGAGACCCTGTCTCAAAAAGACAAAAAAAAAAATTAATGCCTAAGCTGAATGTGGTGGTACATGCCTGGAATCCCAACACTCAGGAGGCTGAGGCAGGAGGATTACTAGTTCAGGTCAAGCCTGGATGTCATAGCAAACTCCTAACCATCCTGCACTATATAACAAGGCCTTGTCTCCACAAAGGATGCTTAAAATTATAAAGAACTGAAAATCACCTGTTATCCTGTTATCTCTCTAGAGACAATTTAACTGTTTATGTTTGAAGTTCTAACCTCTAGTTTGTCTTTTTTGTGTACACATATATAATTAAAATTTAAAAAAATTTTTTTTTTACTTTCTGTGTATGGAAGTATTGTCTGAATGTGTATAAGTGTACCCATGTCATGCAATGCCCATGGAGGTCAGAAGAGGGTGTCGGATCCCCTCCAGTCTGAACTGGAGTTATAGACAGTTATTAGCCACCATGTGGGAGCCAGGAATCGAACCCAGATCCTCTGTAAGAGCAGTCAATGCTCTTAACCGCTGAGCTATCTCTCCAGTCTCCTAATTTTTAAATTTAAAAAAAAAATTAATTTATGTTTATGTCTGTATTCCACGTGTGTGCTGGTACCCCAGAGGCCACAAGAGGGTGTTGTATCCCCTGAAACTGGAGTTTTGGCTGTTGTGTGCCACCATGTAGGTGCTGATACTTGAACCTGTGTCCTCTGCAAGAGCAGCAATTGCTCTTAACTGCTGAGCCATCTCTCCAGCCCTTACACATGTAATGTTTATTATAGGTACCCATTGCTTTGTCAGCAGCATTCTGTGCACTGCTCACATTTTGGACAGAAGAATGATTTAACAAAGCTTGAAGGTGATTAACTGGGAAGTTATTTTTGTAGGCTATCTTTTTCACTTGCTACGTAAAACCCATCTAAGCAATCACTTACACGATTTGGGTCTTTTTATGAGCATAGTGGCCAAATATCTAGGAATTTTTCCTAAATTAAGGGAAGACATCCCCATACAGATAAAAGAAGCAGACAGAACACCAAATAGACAGGAGCAGAACAGAAACTCCCCATGGCACATCACAGTAAAAACACTAAGTGTACAGAAGAAAGAAAGAATACTGAAAGCTGCAAAAGAAAAATAACAAATCACATATAAAGGAAAATTCATCAGAATTACAGCTGACTTTTCAATGTAAACTATGAAAACCAGAAGAGCCTGGACCAAAGTAAAGTTCTAAATGATCATAGACTATGCCAATCCAGAATGCTTTACCCATCAAAACTGTCTCTCATATTTGAAGGGGAAAGAAAAATCTTCCATAACGTGAATAGGCTGAAAGAGTCTTTCTTTTTACCTAGGTTGGACTTGAAGTTACTACATGACCCTAGTTGTTATCCTCCTGCCTCAGTCTCTTAAGTGCTGGGACTATAGGCATGTTTTTCTGTTTTATGACTCCCTATGACAATGACTAGAACAAATAAGAGACAGGAAGTATATACTGGGTCAGATATAGTTATGATTGTTTTATCAAATATTTTAGAAAACTACTGATTTTGATTAGTCCCAGCTGGCTTGGAACTCACTAAATAGCCTAGACTGGTCTTAAACTTGTGGCAGTCCTCCTGCCACTCCTTCGTAAGTACTGGGATTGCAAACGTGCCACCTTGTTTGGCTCTGATTTTCTAACTCTATATGATTTGGATTGCAGCCTTCTAGTCTCCTCTATATTAAATACAATACTATACTGTAGATTTAATCCATTGTGCTCATTTATTTTGACATGCTTTTGGCTAGTAGAATCCCTTTAATCTGGGGGTGTTTTTTTGTGGTGCTTGGGATAAAATGCAAGGCCTTACATGTAGTAGGCAAACACTGTACTGCTGAACTGCATCCCCAAATATTTAAGCTGGATTTTATGTCCTAAGTTGCAGTTTCACATAATTTTTTGAACTTATCTTTATGCAACAAGTTGTTCTAGATATAGTCTTCCCTGTCTTAGCTTCATAATCAGTTATATCTCCAACAAGCGCTAGGTTGAGAGGGCTTATTTAATAGTTAAATAGTATTTTACCTATGAGAAGAATGATTTAGAAGTGAGAAGACAGACAATTACTGGAGTGATGTTTCTGAGAAGTGAAAGGAGATGATATTTACTTAACTAAATACATTGAGCTTCTAAATACATTTAGCTTTTAAATGGGGATTGGAAGAATCCAAACTATAGTGGTAAGAATCATGGCCGAACAAGCATTTAGAAAATTTCTTCCATAACCAAGTGTGATGATTAATCTTGATTGTCAACTTGATGGTATTTAGAATCACCATGAAGATAAACTTCTGAGTGTATCTGTGAGGGAATTCCGAGACAGGGCTAATTGAATTGAGATGGTAAGATTCACCTTAAATGTGGACAGCACTATTCCATGGGCTGGGGTCCCAGACTCAGTGAAAAGTCTGTGAGCCCAGACTAAGGACAAAGAGAGTCGTTTCTCTGCTTTCTGACCTACTGGAGCTAAACCTGACCAAATGGTAAAATTTAAATTTCACTGGAGAACCAGGCCGTGGGACTCCATGGTACATCTGCCAAAATAAAGCTACAAACATGGAGTGGAGTATGTATGCCTGCAAGCAGTGGAGCTGGCGGAAGGGGACTACTCAAGCCCTTTGGAGCTTAAGTCCATCAAGATGAACAGATGCTGGGCATAGAGCTAGCTACAAGATTTGTTGTTTGCCCTACTGGTTTTTTATTTTTATTTCAGGTCAGATTACATATATCTTTTCTTTTTTTTTCTCCATTTTTATTAGTTCTTTGAGAACTTCCTACTTTGTATTTTGATCATAGTCACCCCGTTCCCCCAGATCCACCCCCTCACTACTCACGCATGTTTGTGCCTTCTTTTTTTTTAAACCCATGTAGTCCAATTTTGTTGCCCATACTCTTGATTGTGTGGCCATCTACGGGAGTATGGTCGACTTACAGGGGCCACACTCTTAAACAAAATTGACTCTCCCTCTCCCGGCAGTTATTGGTTGCCAGTTGCTCCTCAGCTAGTGATGGAACATGGTATTCGCCTCCCTTATCCATGCTGGGATTTTGTCTGGCTTGAGCTTGTGTGTGCTGTCACAACCTTTGTGAGCTCATATGTGCAACTACCCTGTTGTGTCTAGAAAACCCATTGTTTCTTTGTAGTCATCCACTACCTCTGGCACTTAGCAGTCTTTCTGTACCCTCTTGCACAATGATCTTCAAGTCTCTGGAGGAGAAAATATAATACAGGTGTCCCATTTACGGCAGAGCATTTTGTAATCTCTTATTCTCTGCATGTTGGCCAGTTATGGGTCTCT